TTTATAGCTACCCTAGGAAGTGGTGGTGAATAAGTTGATAGATAATTTTGTCATTCATTTTCAGAATCTAATGTTTTCTCTCTGTACATACCAGCTTTTCTCAAGTAGATCTTAGGTCATTTTCTTTCTTCCCCAGAGGCCAGAGATACTTATCTTTCAGTGTTTCATTGTTTTGTCTAACACCACTCGTTGAAAGATGTTTGCAACAAAGCAAAAATGAGACCAGGTCTGTTTGTTGTCTGTTAGCAGATAAAGGTAAAACTGACTTTTCTGCTAGGACTGGCCTCATGGTGTATGCTATGGGCCAACAGCTCCTACAGGTGAATCTGTGCAGCAGACCTTGGCCAAGAAGTTCAGTAAAAAGCTGAGAGGGTGGGCTCAAGCTGTATCATTAGATAAAATGAGAGAACACAGTCCACCAGGTAATGCTGCTGTGTTTAGAGTGTGTCTCCCTAAAAGAGGTGAACAACAGGAGCTGTTGCATGTATTTTGTTTGGTTGGGTTTTAACTTTTGTTTTTCATTTCTGGTTCTCAGTCTGTTTGGTTTAGTGGTTACTTCCTGCTGGTTTGGGGGTTGAAAGACAAGGGGAAGTTAAGAGTGCCTGATGTTGGTGTACCTGGGACCCTATAATTTGAATACCATCAAGCCTCATAACTTCCTCAGGCTAAGATCAAAGGAGTAAGCAGGAGATTATTCCTGTTCAGTAAATATGCTGTCGAATGTCAGCAATTGGAAAGACTAGATAGATACTTTTGACCAAATTAAGCAGAGAAATTAAACCATCATAGTCCTAATTATATGCTTTTCATTTGGGAATGGATGTAGGAGCATATTTTCATTTTAGGAAACAAAAAAGAATTGAAAGAAAATCTTGTGTGGTTTAAGCATATTTTCCTTATCCTTATCTCTCTGAGTATAATAGCATAATAATGGTTTTGATCATGTTATTTTTCTTTTTTTTTCCCTACTAAGCTACAGCACTACTTAGTTAATAATAATATAATTTCCTTATATTTTTCCTAAACTTCTTGAGTTGGAGATGCTCTGGTTGTGATTTGTACATATCTCAATTGTGTCATTTGGTGACAGAATGTAGTAATCTTCTAACAACTTTCCTATATACAAATTCATATATGAAGCCTACAATTCATGTATATAATAGAAAATGCAGACAGTAATATAAAATCTATTTTGCAAACCAGCAGACTGCTGATGGAACACACTTTCTCTGAGACCTGGATCAATACAGAATGCATTTTAAGATTCTAACTGTTTTCTGTGTTTTCTATGGCTTTAATTTGCCTTGCAAAAATAATTTCCTGTTCTGTGAATGTGATCTTGTATGACTCTTCTTCTTCAAGATTCTGAACTTGCCAGGAGAACAACATTGACATGCCAGGGCACAGAGCTGGGCTTTATCATAACTGTCTGGGAAATATCCAATACCTGTTTTGAATATTAGTATTTTGTAAGGAAAGAGCATGATGTATCCCAGCACTAACTTTCCCACAGCAATGCTCATAAACCCAACAGGCAGAAGATGGGAAAAGGCTAATACTTTTACCATACACATTTCTGGGAACGTGGACAGCACAGAGTGGATGGTCAGTCAGATAACTTCCCTGGTTTTACAATTTTCTTTTCACTCAGATACGATAATGATAAAGGTAGCTGCATTTCTCCAAACATTAGATATGTAGATTGTATAGGTGATTTTTATGTCCATCCTCAGATGGAAGGTATCATAACTTAGCAATGCTGAAAATTTGTTTCCAGTAAAGCTGTTGTTTAATAAACAGTTCTTCTGTTTAAACTTTTCAAGCAAATACTTGAGGCTAGCTTCCAGTTATATTCTTCTAGTTTTGCTGTTTACTCAGTGCTTTATATGTTAGAAGTAATGACATTGTGCTTTTAAGATCTTTTTTTTGTAAATATAATCTGAAGTGTGATATAAATATAAAGAGTCTGTCTTGCCTCAGAGAGGCTTAATACACTAATTTAGTTTAAAAAAAAAACATTTCAGTTTAAGAAGGGAATAACATTTGCCTTTCTGTATCCATTTGAATAAAACAAAGGAACGTTACGTGAAATGTCTTGTGGCAGGTCCAATAAAAACCTAGAGGAGAATTTGGATGCAGAAATCAAAAGTTGTAAGTCTGGAGGCATTACTGATAATCTGCTTACAAGGTAAGCATATACATGGTTCTCCAATGTACTTTAATTCTTCTGCTTTTTACTGTCTCAGATTTCAGATACCTTGAGTGTTAATCTTGACACAGTAATTTTGATAATTGTTTCATGCTTGATCCATTCAAAATCTAGAAACTAAACTTCACTATTTCACCCTACACAGTGGTTTATTATGACCATGTATGAAATAGAGGCTGATTTGAGAACCTTGTGGAGTTTGGTAACAGTTATTGCCTTTTTAAAAGAATACAGAAAGAAGAGGGGTTCTGCTCCACTTTTTCTATAAAGCCTGAATAGATAGTGAACCTTCCCCCAAGTCAGAATACAAGGTCTTAAGTTTTCCTCAGCATGATGGGGAATCAAACTACAGCTTCCATCTGTTAGGGCTGTGGATTAGCTGCCAGACTTTGGCTGCGTTGTATTAACTATGCTTTTAAAGTAGTACCACTGTACAGAAAAGAAAAAGTGTTTGCTGAAATAGTGACAGAGTGGATCTGTCTATGTGGCTTTGTAGTCCCAAGGCCTACATTGGCCAGATGTTGAAAGTTTTAGAAATGAGGGCTTGTTAGCCAAAGAACCCTTAACACAGGCTGCAGTCATGCTTGCTCTTGTTTTCCCTGACTGTCCCTGTGACTTTTCAGTTATTGAAACAGTGGCAAAGCAAAATGGTGGAAAAATGTGGTGTAGCTTGATGGTTATAACACTTGCTGGGAAAATTAAAGCTTCCTTCAACCAGAAGAGGAACTTGAACTTGTCCTCTTTGTAGACAGTTTTAGGAGCATAAAGAGCAGAAGAGAAAACAATAAAAAAAACAAACAAAACAACTCCTCTAAAAGGAAAGAATAAACTGTGCTCTGTTCTTTGAAAGAACTGCGATAGAAGGAGTCCCTGTTTCCCAACAAGCAGAGATGTTTTCTATCAAGTATGCATGATTCAGCTAAGTTAGGAGACAGCTGTTTACTGACTATCATTTCTTTTTTACTCAATATGCTTCTTGGCTTGGAGCCTGTTCTGAATCATGGGGCTACTCCAAGAGCTTAATGTGCCTTAGGTCCCCAAGCATAGAAACTAAACATGCCCCACTTTTAGGTTTCTAAGTTAATTATTGGATATAACTCAGAAATTATATACTGGAGAAGAGAGCTAATTCTTTATTCCCTCTCTGGTTTTAAGTCCCAGTCACAACATCAGTAGTTACAACCCAGAAAAGGTTCCTGCATTATTAAAACTCTAATAGAGGTAAATTTACTCAGGAAAAAAAACATACTCAACACCTTCTCAAACAGCTACTCAAAATGTATTAGAAATTATAAGAAATTAAATGTATGGTATCAGAAAAATACTAAGTAAAGCACTTCTTGTTCTTTGAAAAGCTTATTGTATAGTAAGCTTCCAGAAATATTTAATTCATGAATGAACAAGGAGC